CCCTGTCCTGGCAGAAGTTTAGAATTCGGATCCATCGGAGTGTCAACAGGTCTACAACCTGTCATTCTTGTCTTCTCAAGAATATCTAAGGCATACTTCCGTTGTGAGATCACAATACCTAAGCTAGACTGAGCGACCTCAATACTCAGAAAATACTTTAATCTGCCCAGATCCTTAGTCTGAAAGTGCTGAAAGAGATGTTGCTTCAACTTACTAATACCATCCTGATAATTGCCGGTAATAACAATATCGTCAACATAAACGACCAGATAAATACAGAGATTTGAAGCAGAATGTCGATAAAATACAGAGTGATCACCTTCACTACGAGTCATGCCAAACTCCTAAATAACTGTGCTGAACTTACCAAACCAGGCTCGAGGAGACTGCTTTAGACCATAGAGGGACCGGCGCAACCGACATACAAGGCCACTAGACTCCCCCTGAGCAACAAAACCAGGTGGTTGCTCCATATAAACCTCATCCTCAAGGGCACCGTGAAGAAAAACATTCTTAATGTCCAACTGATAGAGAGGCCAATGGCGAACAGCAGCCATGGATAGAAAAAGGCGGACTGATGCAATTTTAGCCACGGGAGAGAAAGTATCACTATAATCAAGTCCAAATATCTGAGTATATCCTTTGGCAACAAGACGAGCCTTAAGTCGATCAACCTGGCCATCTGGACCAACTTCGACTGCATACACCCAACGACAACCAACAGTCGATTTACCTGAAGGAAGAGGAACAAGCTCCCAAGTACCACTCGTATGTAAAACAGACATCTCGTCAATCATAGCCTGTCGCCATCCGGGATGAGACAGTGTTTCACCTGTAGACTTAGGGATGGAAACAAAGGGCAAAGATGACACAAATGCACAATGGGATAATGAGAGACGATGGTAACTTAAACCGATATAATGAGGATTAGGATTAAGTGTGGACCGTATACCATTTCGTAGTGCAATCGGTTGATTAAGAGAAGACAAGTCTGCAGTATTAGCAAGGTCAGGTGCAGGACGTGAATCAGCTGGGCCTGATACTGGGGGCGGACGACGATGATAATTCAGGAGTGGTGGAGCTGTAGAAGGTTGAACTGGACTAGGTGGTGGCACTGGAGCTATAGTCGGTGGAACTGGACTAGGTGGTGGCACTGGAGCTATAGTTGGTGGAACTGGACTAGGTGGTGGCACTGGACTCGGTGGTGACACTGGAGCTATAGGTGGTGGAGCTATGGAGGAAGATGAATGGGTTATAGGGACTGAATCTCCAAAAGAAGGAACAGGTAGCACCGCAGAAATATCTAAGTGATTAACTAGACCTGTGAAGTATGATTGTGTTTCAAAGAAGGTGACATCAGCAGACATAAGAAATCGCTGAAGGTCAGGAGAATAACATCGATATCCCTTTTGCGTTCTCGAGTAACCCAGAAATATGCACTTAAGAGCACGAGGAGCTAACTTATCTTTTCCTAGAGTAAGGTCATGATCAAAGCACATACTCCCAAAGACACGGGGTGGAAGAGAGAACAAAGGTAAGTGGGGAAACATGACAGAGAATGGAACTTGATTTTGGATAGCTGAAAATGGGAGCGGGTATGCTTACCGAGCCGACACGACTCACACTCTAGAGTGGACAAGTGAGATAAGCCAGGTACCATTTTCTGAAGTTTTGACAAACTGGGATGTCCTAACCGTTAATGTAATAAATCTGGTGAATCAGTAACGGGAGAAGTTATTGGAGGAAGACAAGATGCGAGTCCATGTGATTTTGCAAGGATGAGGTAATAAAGTCCATCTGATTCATGTCCGGTACCAATGATTCGCCCTGTACTGCATTCCTGTATAAAAACAAGGTCATCAAGAAATAAAATAGCAGATTTAAGTGATTTGGCTAAGCGACTAACGGCTATGAGATTAAAAGGACTACTAGGAACATAAAGAACTGAGTCTAAAGGTAAGGAAGAAAGTGGACTTGCTTGACCTATTGCAGTTTCCATGGCTTGAGACCCATTGGCCATTGTGACTGTTGGAAGAGATTGAGAATATGAGATACTAGTAAAAAGATTTGTTACCAGAAATATGATCAGATGCACCTGAATCAATGACCCAAGACTCAGAAGGTGAAGAATGGGAGACACCAGTCATGCAACTATTTGTTGGAACAACGGAGGTTAATCCTGAAGATGTCTGTTTACGTGCTTTGTACTGAAGGAACTCAATATAATCCGGTAAAGAAACCATCTGGATTGGATTCATTGCATTTAATCCAACGGATTATGAGTTAAAGGCTTCAGGTACGAATTCCATTATAATATCGTGCCGGAAAAAGCAGAAAATTGCTGGGATCACTGTTCACGCCGGAAAAATCACTGTAGCGCGCCGGAAAAAACTAAACGTGGTCGGAATTTGATTTGAACTAGATGGGTAGGCTCGGAATTGTGAGGAGAGCAAGCTTTCCTGAAGGAATTTCGCGAAAAAGTGACCGAAAACAGTGTCACGCGCCGGCGCGTGGGTGTCGGAGCTTCACCGGAAAATTTCTTTCGATGGCGCGTGCGGGGTCTTCTGACGGAGAAAATTTTTATGGGTTGGTCGCCGGAGGCCGATCTACTTCGTGGTGGTGTTGGTTTTTGCACAACACTGACAAAAAGTGGTTTTTTTGTTATGGACAGCCTCTTAAGTCGCCGAAAAATTGCACGGCAACGAGATCTTTCTTCCCGGAGGCCGCTGGAATGATGCACAGCGATAATTTCTCACTGACGCTCTGATACCATGTGAGAAAGCACGGGAGAAAATATATATTGGCTAATATTGACAATGATACAATGAGCTCTATATATACAATACATGTCCTACTCCTAATACATATGGGATTAGGGTTATTTACTACTATTTAGACAATGAAACTAACATCACAGAAAAGGGGATTCTAGAGTATGCCGATTATGCCGATTGTTAAAGTCCTTATATGGGCGTAAACAAGCCTCTCGACAATGGAACATCAAACTAACGTTTCCTTTACTAAAGGCTGGTTACTGTAAAATCTCACATGATCACTCCTTGTTCGTCAAGCACAAGAGAGTGGACATTATGATCATCTTGATCTACGTGGATGATCTTTTAATTACTGGGAGTTCCAAGGATCTGATTAAGGAGGCAAAAGAAACTCCTCAGAGCAATTTTAAGGTCAAAGATTTAGGGGAACTTAGATACTTTCTCGGGATTGAGGTGATGAGATCTCAACATGGAATCTTACTTAATCAAAGGAAGTATGCTTTGGAGTTACTTTCTGATGTGGGATTAAGTGGAGCTAGGCCATCTTCCACCCTATTGGAACTGAATGTCAAGCTGACAACAATAGATTATGACACTCATGCTGGGAGGTCTGATGATCCATCTTTAGCAGATATTAGCAGTTATCAAAAATTCGTAGGCAAGCTAATTTATCTGACCATTACTATGCCAGATATTTGCTTTGTAGTGCAGGTTTTGAGCCAATTCACGCAAGCACCTAAACAATCACATTGAGAAGCTGCATTGAGAGCACTCAAATATATAAAAAATGCTCATGGTTTAAGAGTATTCTTGAAGAAAATCTCAATTACAGAACTGACTGCATTCTGTGACTCTGATTGGTCCGCTTGTCCCAATACCAAAAGGTCAATCCCAGGCTATCTGATCAAGTTGGGTGATTCTTTGATCCCATGAAAATTGAAGAAACAACAGACTGTGAGCAGAAGCTCAGCTGAGACTGAGTATAGGAGCATGGCAGCGGCTGTAACAAAGATCATTTGGCTAGTTGGGCTTTTAAAGGATCTCATAATTTTTGCTTCCACACCGGTACACCTTTGCTGTGACAGCAAGACAGTAATACAAATTGCTGCAAACCCCACCTTTCATGAGCGTACCAAGCACATCGAGATCGATTGTTACTTTGTGCAGAAGAAGATTAAAGGAGTCCTGATCAAGACTAGTTATCTAACCACCAAATCTCAATTGGCAGATTTACTTACCAAAGGGTTAAGTGTTGCTCAACATCACACTCTTCTTTCCAAGTAGGGTTTGCTCGATGTATTTCACCCACCCGCTTGAGGGGGAGTATTGGAGATATTAGTGTTGACGACCAATTTTGACCCTCCTTTAAAAAGTTAATTTATTTACACTTATTAATTTTCAATAAATATGTTAAAGGTATTTTCTAATTAAATAGTACCTATTTTTATAAAATTAATGGTGTAAATTAATAATTTAGTAGTTATATAATTATAAACATATTACTTTTGCTATTTTATTATTTTTGAAAATATTTAAATAACTCTTATATTCATCACATATGTTTTATAATTAGTTTTAAAAAGTTATTTCTTAATTTTGGTAAAATAGCCCGTTATTTCAAAACAAATCTGAAATTAGTGTAGTAATAGGAAAATAAGATATTAGTAATTAGTTAACTAAGTACAGTAATTTGAAATGTATTTGATTATTTTAATTCTTATTGCATGTTATTAGAATTCCTTAAGTTTATTTAAATTAACTTATAAAAGATTAAGGACTGAAAATGCTACATTTGCAATTACATAATTAAACACAAAATAACTAGTTGATAAATTGAAATCAACCCAAACAACAAGCCCAAATCAAAATCTGACTCAGTCCAAACATCCTTCTCTTTCCACTTTGAAAATACGCCCCAACCCATGAGAACCAATCAAACCTCGCCACGTCACCTCTCCACAACACTCACAAAAGAAACACAATTGATCCAAGTTGTCCATCTTGTAGATCAACGGCTCTCGTTTTATCTCATTTTTCCTTTAATTTAAACACCTCATCAAATTTAATCTTCAACCGTTGGATTACAAGAATCCAAAGGCCACCAATATTTCCCACTAAAAAACTTTAATGTTCAAATTATCAGGGCCGTTGATCAGTAGATCCAACGGCCCAGATCCCATCTCCTCATCTTATCCCAGAGACCTAACCCCAACTATCCCCGAACCCTAATCATTTCTCACCCGACTCGGTCTCCCCTTTTCCCCTTCCTCTCTCATTTGTCTTACCTCACCAGACCCATCGATCAAAGAACCTTGTACAAATTAGTGCAAGGTCGTGAATCATGACCAGAAATCATCTCCTTTGTCCTCCTTATCCACGATTCTCGCTAAATTTTTTCCCATTTCATCTTTGAGATTCAGAATCCCTAAAATCAAAACCCTAGACCTAATAGTGCAATTTCAAGTCTTCAGGAATCCTTTTGTGCTTTGTTAAATATGTGATATGCATGGTTGTCTCCCAGTGTTATCATGATTATTCTTGGTCCAGAGGTCAAGCAAAGTGACCTCTGAACATTGAGGCTCTTATCCGATGGTTCTTGCCTTTTACGGTCAACTTCCCCATCTCAGGTAAACTCCTTATTGTTCTTACCTATGTCTCCTCTGATTTCACCCGATTATGCTAATATCACCACCCCTCCCGTTACTCTCCACTACTGGTTTAATTTTTATTAAACCCTAAGTCATTTTAATGTCACTATAAATAGGAGCCTTAATTCTCTCACCTAACAATAGAAGACACACATAAAATCACTTAACAAACAGAGAAACATCAATTTAGTCTTGAGTAGTAAAATCAGGCTAGGGTTCTAACTAGTTTTGATTTTCTTTCCGGAATTTGAGCTTCACATTAGTTGGAGTTTGAGTTCATGATTCTTACCATCTAAGCAAGACTTTTGTTTGGTTTGTTGCTCAAAAGAAGGTCAGTGCACTTGACCTTTTTCTCTTTCTTTTTAATTGTTGAAACCATGTCTACTCTGTTACCTTTTACTGATTGTTTCAGCTTATAATATTTTGTTGTTAGTTTACGATTGGCTATCTCTATTCATGATGTGTTCATAATCAACTATTATGCCCAGGCGTTGTATTATTCAAGTGGATACTAATCGTTTATTGTGTGATTATAATGAGTACTGCTCCAAATTAAGTAACCTATATGATCAAACTTCTGTAATTAACTAAAGAATTTTGATGGCTTTCATGTCCACCTCATTGATTATGCTTTAGTGTTCTCTGTTGATCTATACTTGAAGTTATTTGTCTGATAAAACAAACTAAATAATGGATATGAACACCTAAGGTTAAGTATATAGCTGTCACTTTAATTTAAGTATTGCAGTTTACAATGAGTTGTTTTCTTCTCTAATGTGTTCTTCTGTGATTCTGTAACTCCAGAGAGATCAGTGAAAAAGTCTTCTGTCAGCTCCTATAATTGTTTGATCACATCTTAAAGTAATCATATTAAGTTCTAATGAATCTCTGTATCCATGTTTTTGTTTGTTGCTATCTATTTAGCTTAAGTCATGCCTAGAAACCTGATTGAAGTTGCACTTGTTATAGTTGAATATCATTTGTTGAATTAGGTATTGCTAAATTTTATCATGATAGACCTATCTACTTAATTTATAACTGAACCATGCTTACCTAGTATAGAACTTTCACTATTCTGGACCATCATAATGATAATGTTAGTCTAATCCCATGTTATTTGTTACTCAATCATGTTGTAGTCTGGTTAGAATGTAACATATACATATTTGAATGCCATCTATTGGAAGTTCTGTACTCATCCCTGCTTCAGAAAAGGACTTCTACTTGTACATCATGTTTGTGATTGTACTTTCCATATCATTGAAACCTACTAAGTTTACTGTAGTTTAACAATGGACTTAGGATAGACCCCTTTGATGTTTATCTGCCCTGTTTGAATGTAGGACTATATATTTAACTTCTAACCAACCTAGATGGAAGGAAATAACTCTTTAGAGATCATGTCACTTGTTAAGTAATTGTATTTGCCTATCCCTGTCATTTAAAAATACCGAAGTGGACTGTTAACCCTTACACTTAGTAAGAAGTGGAGTTCTAGTCCGTGTGTAGATTTTCATTAAGTATATAAATGATTAAGTACATAATTACAACTAATGATCCTCATAAGTGTGAACCTGCAGTAGGATTAGTGAGGTTAATACACATGATATCTCCTATGCTCTTTTGAATTACATGATTCACTTGTTCTAAATTCTGGAATTGACATGTTGGTGTTCCCATTACTTGCCAACACCTATAACTGATTTTGTTAAGTACTTTCAAGCCTGATAAAGTACATGATAATGTATTATGGACCATGATCTCTTATGATATTATCTGCAATATTCTGAATAGTTGTTACAATAAATGTACATCTCCTTGTGTTTTTTCATTACTGTTGTATTGAAATTTATATTGATTGCCTCATTAGCACTTAAACATGTAAAGAAGAGTAAGCGTGAATAGTTAGGGGTATTTAGGAATAGAATTTAGTTATCAGTTAAGATATTCTCCCTGACACAAGCACTACTCAGGGTCCTTGAGACCCTTGTGAACTTTGAAGTGCCAGGGATCCAAAGGATAACTTGGCCATTAACAAAATTCTACCTTAAGCCCTTAATCTATTAACATTTTCTAATCTCTTTAGGTTTAATGTTAAATGAAAATAAAGGTTTCACTGTAAATTGCTTATGTGTGACTTCACTTTAATTTGCATTCCTAACTATTATTGGTTATCACAGTTTTGTCTTGGGCTTATATTGGTGTTACTTATGTTTAAGTACCACATTGGGCCATATATCTAGTAACCTCTTTTCTTTATTTTTTTCGCATGTGTCTGAGTTGGGCCTTGCCGAGTTCTAAAAGAACTCAGGCACAAGTGCTTGCCTGAACCTTGGAGTCATCGGAGTTGCTGTTGTTTGTTTTTCACTGTCTGTTGGGCCTAATCTCTTTCAGGCCCAAAACTATGAGTCTATTCCTTCTTCTTTTTCACAACTCTTATATGTTTACTATTATTATTATGTGTATCAACAATGACAATATTGATTGAATATTTACTTTATTTCTCTGAACTGTAATAACTTAGGCAAGCCCTAAAGACGTAGGTAAAAATAAAGGTACTGTAACTTAGTAGTAATTAATTCTAATTGTTAATCACTTCTATTATCCAACTTCTGTTTTATTCTTACTAACGATCTTCACGAAGTTTTGAAACAAAGATAGATTTGTAAAGTCAATAGCCTTCTCTTTTAAAAATGAGAAGAAATCGAAAACCCTGAAAATGATTTTCAAAAGTGGGCTGTTCAAACAAACACTGCTGCAATTAAGGATACTTCAAACTGTTTGTATTTGAATATGAGATTTGAAACCAAATTTCCAAGGTATATCTAAACTCCGTTTTCAAATAGTTTTACTTTACACAAACAGTCACTTTGTTTTCGAAATCAATATTTTAAAACTCAACCCCATTTATTAGTAGAAAAAGTGTTATAAACTCATTTTTTTCTAAACACTTTTCAAAGGCATTCATCTCAAATAAAAACTTACACCTTTTCAAAATATATACACTGCTTCTCTCTCAAAATTGATAAGTTATACAACATAACATAAGGTAAGCCATACACTTTTAAGCACTGACTAAGTAAATATAGACATCTAAATTCTTCGAACCTAGTCTAAATTCTATGGAGTTGCCTTAGGTAGATTCTAGGGGGTTCCTAATACTTTCCTCTTAGAAGAACAAGAATCCTTACCCAAATCTCACTAGTTAGCAGACTAATGGGATAATGATCTTAATAATTAAATTGGTACCTTAGTATACCTTTATATATTAGGTGGCGACTCTCTTTATCATCAACATGGAAACCACTAGCTGAATCATGTTTTGACTCGTGCAAAATAGGGTGTAACAATTAACAGTTGAAATAAGTTGTTAATGAGTTAGTAAGATTGCACGTGAAGTGCACGTGGGAGTTGAGAGCACTAAAGCTTATATATTCATCTATACTCTTTTTCAGAAAATAGAATAATGAGAATATCTTTCTTCTCTTCTTCCAAATTTCTTCTCTCTAGAATGCATGTATGTGATTCTGTCTCTCTTCTCAATTTTGGTCATAACTGAGCTCAATTCAATAGCTTTTAATAATTTTTTTACAACTCTGCCGGTTCAATATATTCAAATCCCTTTGCAGAGTGAAGCATTCGATAAAAGATCATAAAGAAGACATTTCAAATTGTTTCGAGCATGACTTGCAAGAGCAAAAGATGTGCATGTTAAACCTCGTGTTGGACATTACTTCCTCTTTTTTTTATTCACGATCTTTTTAATATTTCTTTTAAATATTTTAAACTGTTACTTATTCTGACTTATATAATTTTTATGTAGTTTTTAAATATGTACTCTTTATTTAAAAAAATTAAAAGATTCTATAACGACCGACCGGTCGTTTTGAGCTCAAGCGCGTCGCTCGGCGGTTTGAGGCCATGAACAGCTTCACCTCAGGTATTATGACTTGTACGCATAGTCGGAACTGAAATTCGGGGAGTTCGGAGTTAATTTGGAAAGAGAATTCTCATTTCGGAAGCTTAAAGTTGGAAGGATCTGACTAAGGGTTGATTTTGAGTAAACAACCTCTAAATCGGGATTTAAAGGTTTCAACGGGTTCGTATGATGATTTTGGACTTGGGCGTATGCCCGGATCGGGTTTTGGATGAACCGGGAGCGTTTCGGCGCCTATTGTGGAAGTTAGCATTTTGGAAGAATTTCATAAATTTGGGTTGAAGTGCATTTCAGTGTTATCAATATATGTTTGGGATTCTGAATCTGAGAATGGCTCCGTATGGTGATTCTGGTATTTGGAGCGCGATCGGAGGTGGATTTGGAAGTCCGTAGGTCATTTGGCTAAAGTTAGAAATTTGAAGGTTTTTGAGAAGTTTGACAGGAAGTGGACTTTTTGATATCGGGGTCGGATTCCGATTCTGGAAGTTGGAGTAGGTCCATAATGTCGAATATGACTTGTGTGCAAAATTTGAGGTCAATCGGACGTGATTTGATAAGTTTTGGCATCGAATGTTGAAGTTCGAAGTTCTAAAGTTCATTAAGTTTGAATTGGAGCACAATTCATGGTTTTAGCATTGCTTGATGTGATTTGAGACCTCGAACAGGTCCGCATTATGTTTTGGGACTAGTTGGTATGATAGGACGGGGTCCCGGGGGCCTCGGGTGGATTTTGGGTGGTTAACGGATCGGAATTTGGAGTTGAGGAAGAGCTGAAGCAGCTGGGCACCTGGTGTAACCGCACCTGCGCGGGTAGGGCCGCAGGTGCGAGCCCGCAGGTGCGGTAGATGGATCGTAGAAGCGGAAGGTGCCAGGCCGTTGAGAAACCGCAGAAGCGGAAATACTTGCGCACCTGCGATGGCGCAGTTGCAGTGCCAGTCGTCGCAGAAGTGGGAAGAGCCGCAGGTGCGAAAGAGGAAGCCGCAGAAGCAGAAGCGCGGATGCGGCCAAGGAGCCGCAGGTGCGGAAAGTCGTTGGGGCGGTGAGGGGTTTTATAAACGGGAAATTGGTCATTTTTCTCCTATTTTTCATTTGGTGTGGGCGATTTTGGGGAGCTATTCTTCAAGTATCACAAGGTAAGTTGTTCCCAGTCATTACAAGTTAAATACATGATTTAGATACTGATTAATGTATGGAAATTGTAGAAATTTGGGGTTTGAGAAAAAACCTAGAAAATTGGTATTTTTTATTTTGACCACGATTTTGGACATAAAATTGAGAGTAAATTATATAATTGAGTTCGTGAGGTTATGGGTAAACTTTACCTTCGAAAAATTTCGGAATTCGGGCACGTGGGCCCGAGGGCGATTTTGTCAACCTTTCAATCGGGGTTAGAAATTGCTATAAATTGGATTAATGAGCGTTTGAGCATATATTAATGGGTTTGCATAATTATTGGCTAGTTTTGGAGCGTTGTGCATCGACTTGAGTCTTCGGAAGGGCGTGGAATGCGGGTTATGGAACTTCGGAGCGAGGTGAGTCTCCTTCTAACCTTGTAAGAGGGAACTGTCCCCATAGGTGAAGTTATTGGATATGTGCTTATATTTGTGGGGGCTACGTACGCACGAGGTGACGAGAGACATGCGTAGCTACTATTATGCTTAAGTCCGGGTAGTCTATAACCCAAAAGTATGCTTTACTCGTAATACTTGAAACCTTGTTGTCAATTTAAAATGCTTAAATCATAACGAATTGGTAAAAGAATTTCCAAAAGGAATTAAACATCATTTTCTTGACCGTTAAAGAGAAGTTGTCATTTCTTTGGGTAATTATTTCCCTGATGGATTCTTGATTGACTGTTTGGTGTGTTTATTTATATTTGATCGCGTCGCATATATGATTCGCGAGCGGGGTAATAGATGCATCTATGGTTCGCACCGTTCAACCCTCTGGCAGTGCACATTTTATTATTATGTTGGATCAGGCCATACGACTTCGGCATGATTTGCGCATGCTTGTATTGCTTGACTTGCAAATTTATAAATGAAGATATTGCCTCCCTGACTTGAGATAAATGTGTAAATGATGGAAAAAAAATAAATTTGGCAATTCCCTATTAATAAAATAATTATTTACTCGCTTCCTGCTATTGAGTTACAACTGTTTTTATATATATCCTCGATTTCTATATTATCGATATATTATTATTGGACCACTAGTAAGTGTCGAAGTCGATCTCTCGTCTCTACTTCTTCGAGATTAGACGGGATACTTACTGGGTACGCATTGTTTTCGTACTCATGCTTCGCTTGCTGTGCATTTTTGTTGCACAGGCACATGTATGTCTAGTGGCCTAGTTTGGCACAGCGGCATGGTTGATACGGAGACTTAGGTGAGCTGCACTTCTCGAGACGACCCGCAGCTAGCAGAGTCTCCTTCAGAGCATTGTATTGTATTTTCTCTACTGTCCAAATTTGTATTCCAGACGGTTATTGTATTACATCTTGTGAAATTGCACATGCACTTGTGACACCTGGTTCTGGGATGACTATGGGATTATTCAATAATTAAGTTTATTAAACACATCCTTATTCATTCAGTAAAATTCATTATTTATTGTTTAATGTATAAAAGAAATAATTTTAATAAATATTGAAATGGGAATTTAATTGGTGTTGGCTTGCTTGACAGTGGTGTCCGGCGCCAGCACGACCCTTAGTGGATTTTGGGTCGTGACAGATTCTATGTTCGAATTCACAATCAAAATTTAAAAGTTTGACTCTGGAAATCCGGACTAAGAGGGTATTATTTTTTTGATACGGTGCTACTACACACTCGACCGAGTTCCAAAAATCTATATTTTCAACTTCGACTTTAAATTATATCTTTTTTACATTTCATCTTCAAATGTTGTCCAAACACATTAGCGAAGGATTTTTTTATTAGTGTTTTTTCGCTTCACACATGAGTTTAAATGGTTGCTCCCAGTCTGGTGCAATGATCAGTATATTGATCAGTCTCTTCTTTAACTCCTCAAATGCACGTCTTTTGCCTAATTAACTTGACAAAAGCAAAGATAAAAGAACACTACAGAGGAACGATATTAATGATGTTTTCATGACTAGTTGAGGATAACAATGTAAAAGTTCCCTTTTTGAACTTGATTTAACTTTTGAATTAGTTAGATAGATGTGCCTTAGTAGAAGAGGTCCTCATTGGGCTCAATATCTTCGCCGATCCTCTTCGTAGACGAATCCATTGGGTGGATAACATAGACTTTGTTAGCAAAAACTATTGAATATTTAAGAATAGATTTCGTTATTTGGATTTGTACCTTTTGAATCTTAATTTGTCTTTTTGGGTGCATAAAAATTATTTAGTTATATTAGTTCTATTTTTATTTGTACTTTAAATTTTAATTTGTGTTTTTGGGTGTAATAAATTTTTTAATGAGTTGAACATAGGGTAATCAGAATAGATTCATAATCAAATAATATAAAATTATAATTTTGCTATGCATCGGCAAACACAATTAAAGTACAAGGGTAAAATTTATTGCTTATAAGCTTGTTTGGATGGTTGTTACACATTGTTTCATAATGTATCAATTGTATTATATTATAGTGTACTATATTATTTTGATGAATACAACATTTGCATAGATCGTATCGTTTGTCTATTATTTTTTGAAGTCATGCACCACCAATACGAAGAATAAACTTGCAATATTATAAATAAGTAGAGTACAAGTAAAATTATTAAGGATAAAGGATAGAACATGATTATTTAATAATAACGAATGTCAATATGAGAGGGAAAAAATAAGATAATGACGCGGCCACACCAAATTGGTCGTTACATAAAGTGATACTTTTTGTCGTTACATAATAATGGATTTAACGATATGATACAATAAAATTTAGGTAACAATCAAAAACAAATATTGTATTTAAAATAACAATACGATACAATACGATAGGTAACAATCATCCAAACAAGTTGTAACTTAGCTCATAAAAATTTGAAAATTCCATAACATTGTGTTATCAATAAAATGATTAATTAATAAATAAAAAAACTAATTATTTTTCATCATTTAAGAGTTAAAACAACTAATTATAGATCAAATAAGTCTATGGTACAAAAATAGAGTCCGGAACCAAAATGTGGTTCTTTTGGACTCAAAGAACAAAAATTTGTGGAAAAAAAACTTAGTGATCAATATATATATATATGGAGTGGACCCACAATTAATTCTTATGTGCTTAACTGACATAACAATAATTCAAGGTATAACGTATTTTTAAAAGACGCTATACCTCAAATAATTGAACCCCCGGACTGGTTTTGCCTTATTTAAAGAGGTGAAGGATTTTGTAAAAATCCATTCATAAACATTTTCAAGTCTTGTGAAATTTTTCTTTGATAAGTTATTTTGCATTTTGTCATAATGTGTGAAGAGTGAAGAATTAGGGTTTCTTTATATTGGGGTGTGAGGTTGTGGTGGCGAATAACTCAATACTCCACAGTCTCATGTTAAGTTGCCACTTACAATGGAGTACGATACAATGGTATCGTTGTTATGTAAGAAAATGAGTGTGAGCAAACGTTCGGTGAATCTTAAAATAACCGGAAGATATCCGTATTCTGTGACTCCGCAAGGGTTTGCTTGTTATGCTGAGTTTAACATCGAATACGATGAAACTCTAAGAGATTTTTTGAGGACTCCAGATGAATACCGGGAATTTTTTGTGATAAAATTGTTGGAAATGTACGTCAAGGCTGAAGACGTTCGCAATAATGAGGTTGCGCAAAGTAGGAAAATCCCTCAATCATCGGGTGGTTATTTTGGAGCAGTTTTAGCCGAACAGGTTCCGGCTGAAAGAGTTTGGCCGGATCTAAACTTATCTCCACGGGCGAATGAGGAGCGAGGAAATAATTTTTCCCCTAGTATACACAATCCACAAGCTGAGTGGTAAACTTTCAATTTTCCTTTGTGTTACGATGTATATTTTTATGTATTGTATTTGTATTAACATTCATATATTCCACAGGGGGTACCAACCAGATATGAATTTTACAAGTTATGAACCAACGGCTAGTTGGAATATGCCTAATTTTGGTGTGCTGGATCATGGTAGTCCATCCGGGAGTCAGCATCAACAAGCTAATGTGCATCATCGTATATCAACACATTATGATTTGTTAGTGAATATATAATGTTATATGTATTGTTTGGAACAATTTCAGTAACTTATTATTTCTTTGGTTGTGCAGTGAAAACGAGCAACTTGATGGTCCTATTCTTACTCAATTGCCCGAAGACGACGTATTTACTCGGGATCTAGCAGATGCACAGAGTCAGGAAGAGAATAGTGATTATGACAACGATGCCGATGAGTCTGGAGATGACACACCCTTCCCTGATGAGGGTGATGATGAGGAGGAAGAAAATGCCAAACCTGATTTGACGAGGGAGCATGCTCCACCTCGCGTTAGACCAAGAGTGTACGAGTCCCACGTGTCATTTCATTCAAGGCATATTTCCTACCTTGATCATTTGCCAAGTATGCCGGATGTGGCTGCCCTCACAAGGGATATTGACGAAATTTGGACAGCAATGTGGGATGAATCTAGACCAACGATGCTGTCAAAGGGCATGCTTTTTCCTGATAAGGCGCGCCTAATCAAGGCGGTAAAAATGTACAGCGTAAAAGAGTGCCGTGAGATGATGGTATGGGAGTCATCTCCGGATGTATACAAGGTTGTTTGTCGTAAATGGTTTACGGGTTGTAATTTGATGCTGCGTGCAAGGAAGAAAACAAATATGTGGGTTGTGGGTAAATACATTGGCACTCACAATTGTGAAATGGACACATTCAGTGGGAATCACTTTAACTTGGATGTTGACTTGATTTCTCTTGTCTTGATTCCACACATTGAAGCCTCCATAAGGTACAAGATCAAAGAGTGTATTACATCTGTCCACCAGGAATATGGGTGTACCATTACCAAAAGAAAGGCATTTCTCGGGCGCAAACGTGGGTTTGAAATTGTTTACGGTGACGGGGATAAGTCATTTGCATCTCAACCCAGGTACATGGCCGCATTGCAACACTTTAACCCCGGGACTATTGTTGAATGGAAGCTTAAACAGAGTCCGGGAATACTAGAATATATATTCAGATACGTGTTCTGGGCATTCGAACCAGCAATTGATGGTTTTGTGCATTGACGGCCGGTAATATCCATAGATGGCACTCATATCGCGCGTACCCTTAAAGCTAGTTAAGATTAATAATAGAAGAGAATGATAATAGTAGAAAGGAAGATTTCTTTCTTTTGTTTCGAAGTGTCTTCTTTACTATTATAGATAAAATTGCATTGATACATAACTTTCTAAATCTAGTTATGAGTCTCAAAATCAACACAAATCTAGACATGAAGACAAATCTAAAATATGGCAAGATTTTCAAATCTTAAGTTGGACATCCACCTTCTATGCAATTGGATTTATAACAACATGAAGACAAATCTAAGATACGACAAGATTTCCAAATCTCAAGTTGGACATCCACCTTATGTGTAAGTTGATTTATTACATAGTAAAAGTTTATAAATTGATCAATTTTTGTAATAAGCTACTTATAAATGGACATAGCTGGTAGTTTCCCTACACATAATTATTTGCTGACCATCGATAAGAGTTCCACCAGTCATCAGAGAACCGGAGAGCTGTTCTAGGGGATGAAATGCAAACCCAAATTCTACCACCAAGGTTATCTTGCTTCTCCGATAGTAAACACGAGATGTGACTTAGTTTCTCCTTATGATATTACCTTCATGCCGAACAGTGAACTGCAAAATGTTCGTTTTTAGTGTCTCATGCAGCTGAATGGAAAGTGTGTTGACAACCGAATCGAACTCTCACGTAGAATCTCCTCAAAATACCTCGTTAAAGGCTGCATCTTTCCTTGATTTCCAATTAAAAGTGGATGTCATTCGCATTCTTCATGAAAATATGAAGCTTCAAAATTTTAACCATCTTTGAGTCAACAGGCAACATTCAGGAGCCACTCAACTCTGATGGAAGAGCTTCAGATATGGAAGGGGTCACAACTTATGCCAGTTCTGGTGTGGTTGCTTTCCCAGCCGCTTCAACATATACATGCATCCAGCAGCGGAAAAGAGACCAACTGCAGCTGTTGCTATCATGGTTGAATTTTCAATATTCGGGTAGCAACCTCTCTACAAAAGATTCAAGATAATCAGAAGTATCAAATACTCACCAAATCACCGGAAACACAAATTAGAAGTCTCATGATAATGTTTGGCATTTTGCATATACAGCCAATAAAACCAGATGCAAAAGTTCAATCCAATGAAAACTCCCCTGTTCCTAGTCTACATGTACAATTGCACTTTATTCCTGTCTTCGTGGCAAATTTACATATATAGGATACACTAACTTGTCATCTTTCTTTCAGAATAGGTTCATGCACCAATATTATTTTGGAACATAGAAAACAGGTGTTGCTGATGATTCAAATACACAACTGTGAGCGCAAATATATAAATGAGGTTGAAAACAGAACTTCTCATGCATATTCTTCATGCTCTAGCATACATCTTGATTGTTTGCTTCGGCGGGAAGGAAAAAGAAAAGAGAGGACGGAAGAGAATAAGAGAAGATGGGTTGCTAGATCTTGGCTGCAGAGGATGTTGATAAGTCGTGAGACCCCTACATTTCTAAGCAACCTGCATCCAGGTGCTTACCATCCAAATGCGACGTTCTTTAACGGGTTTTAGAGCGCACAAGATGCACCTGTAAAAAGTGTATATGGTTTCTCTTAATGTGATAGCAGATTAAAGGATGTATTTAGTACAGACCTGCACTAGAAAAAATAACACGAGAGCATTTGAAGGAGCAAGAGATAAACTCATCATTCCTCCGCGAAGTTCATTAGGCACGTACCTGCATAGTATAGGAAGAAAAGAAACTTGAGCAAAAGAAAGACTCCACCAAATATATGAGATAATTAAGAAATCATGATTTATTTATAGTACAGTATTGTAAGTTACATGGTTCTCAATCTGGCAAATGAAGGCAAAACCAGTCCCATGCAAGCATGAAATATTGAGAATAGCATCACAAGAACTTTTATTTCCTGCAATCACATGGCAAATCATAAGGTTGACTTAAAAGCTTGATATCCAAACAGCATAAAAAAAGTACATGACTAAACTACCTGATAATCATAAGCTACGATGGACATGACGAATCCCATAACAACAAAAGCATACACTAAGCAGTCCTCTGTTCGAAGTGATAAAGGTCCATTGAAGAACCACGGAAATGCAGTGCTTCCTATCTTAGTGCCGAGCAAACACGGATATATTAAACCTAGCAGAACCTCTCTGCCATCTGCCTAGAAATATAACAAACTCTTAGTAGAGGAAATGTCGCTTCTTTCAGATAAAGGAACAAACATGGTGATACTGGAGCCAGAATGGAAAGAAAATCCAAATTTTCATGATATCAGTAATGTTCCAAAGTTTGAGAGGGAGTGTAAAAGACATGTTTATAAATGTCAAATTACAGGAAAATGGATCCTAAAATAGCTAATTTACAAAATATGTTGAGCATAGACTTGGTTATACACTAGACTGCATCCAGCTGTGCCATACACAACAAGTCAACAATGCTAACTCACCCTCGGCACAAAGTAATAAGAAGAATGCTCTGCTTTCCCTTGACAACCTTCATTCTGACTTACAATTCAAATCTGACCATCGACTGTGTTGTTTCACAAAATAAACTTCAGCTACAAACTTCAACAACTAATTTTAAAGAGTAAGGTTACAGAAGTCACACTTGTGTTTTCCATGTGTACTATCCAGAAACTCCATAAGATCCCTCTGAACAAGGATAGAGGAAGCAACACTTATCTTAAAAAGATGGAGGGAGAAATGTCATGCATGGTTTCTTGAAATATTTCACTAGCACACCAATCCAAAAGAAGGAAAATAATTACGTATTTAGGTAGATTAGAGAATTAGGTTTTCGTAAAGTTTGTTTCATCCATCCAAAGGCAGTGAAAATCATACCACAATGGTCGGAGCCCAAAGGATCCAAAAAACTGAAACGGAGAAGTGAACAGAAGCTTGTGCCCATGACAAAAGCCATATCCTTCTTGTTTAACCAAAAATTAGATTTTAGGTCAAAGTTTGAATTTAGAAGAACTCAGGTTACTGATAATCGGAAAAGTATATAAGAAAGAGATTTTGAATGATATAATCAGAAAGCAAAAAGAACAAAGTTTATTCCAGTAATATTTTCTCGTGTCCTATAGATGTTATGACTTTCTCCTTTTATAGTTAATTTTAAGAGAAAGTGTAATGCCTTTGTCTTAATGAGGCAATTACGAGCAATAAATGACATTAAAAGAAACGTTACTCAATCATTCATATTAAATACAAATTCTCTAACGTATTTGGCATTTAATGTTGAATTGGGACTCTTTTTCGTTATCAGATTCATGTCTTCAATTCCTTTTGATCTTCGAGCTTTAAATGACTCGAACAGGTACGAGTCTCGTTTCATTTGAATAATAGCTCGTGCCTTTAAGTATCTTCTCTCCCGCATCTGTTGTTGCTCGTGCCTTCTAACTGATTACCACGCTTTGACTATTTGACCGGCCCACGTGCCATGACACGTCATCTTTAATATTTAAATTCAGTTTTTTCCCAATACAGATAGTCCCCCCCACTTTCCATTTATATATCAATTAAATATTTGGGAAGTGAATATTCATTAAAAAGGGAATATTTGCCATAATCAATGCTATGACAGTACCAACGCTTCAGTTGTCTTTTCTATTTAATACATTACATACGTGTCACCTTCTCATTAGCTCTGCAATTTCTGCAGCCTTTTTTCAAGGCTTCTTCAACTCCACTATTCACGAAGTGATAGTTGTCTTTATTATAGGCTTTCCATCATTACACTTCTTAGTCTTTGACGGTCACTTTTACATAAACTTAACCCTTCTTCCATAAATTTTTACCACGGTCGCCCATCAGTATAAATTCAATTTTTCCTTTCACCTTTTGCCACATAAAACTTTTTCCTTGAACGCTTGAATTGTGCGAATCTCTGTTTACTTCTTTCTCTTCTTCATCATGTCTTCTTCGAACCCTAACCCTAAGAGAGTTCCTATTTTAGACAATTTTCCCAATGCTCCTGTTAGACATAGAAGAGGTGGGAGACTTCGTAGTTTAGGATCCTCTCGTGGTGGTGGTTCTGCCATGCCTTCTCCTAGCCCTGGTTCTTCCTCTAGAACTAGAGGTTTTTTTTCTCACAAATCATCCTCTAAGAGCAAGGAGGCCTCTGAACCATTACAGGAACCCTTGGTAGAAGAAATAGTTCCTAACGATTTATCTTTTCAACATGATAGACAATCACTTCAGACCCAAATTTCTGGTTTGGATCGTGTTGATGCTTACCCCACTATGATTACAGAGATTTTAGCTCCCATAGTTCGCAAAGATTGTCACTGGAGTAATGATTTTCCCATTGTAATCCCTAATCCAAATCAAAGGATTACTTCATATATGACTGGATTCTCTTTCGTTTACACATACCCTTTTACTCTTGGGTTTAAACCAGCTATTGACCCAGTATTCTCGATATCTGTCATTTTTTCAAAGTTTGTTTAGCACAGGTTGGCCCGCTTGTATGGAGGGCTGTTTCTTGTTTAAGGCATCTGGCCAATTTAGCAGACGTTGATTTCACCTTCTCCCACCTAATTCATCTATACTCCCTTAGACTTTTTCGTAATGGAGTCTTTACCTTAGTGGCTAGGAGTAAGAGAGTTTCGGTAAGCCCATAAGATGATAAGGATCGTGGCTGGTATGCCCGATTTGTTGCTGCTCCCACAGTTGGTTTAGTGGGTGAACAAAA